AGAGAGAGAGAGAGAGAGAGAGAGAGAGAGAGAGAGAGAGTAGCAAGTAGCAAGCTTACTTCATTGCGATTACAAAACCTCAATGAGATTTATAAAATCATTTTACGCAGGAACATTTTCGTAGGAACACTTCCTTTTGCTTATTTCATTATCTTCCTTTATTTCCTTGGTACTGTACTACACCTTTTGCTGTTCATTAACCGCAAAGGAATATTCATTGAAGCGAAGAAGCATTGTCATTAGAGCGAACAGGCATACAATAAGGCGAACGGACTCTCAAGAGTGCGATGGAACTTTCATTAAAAAATTTAGCATTGAATTTGACAATCGTTAATATGTCTGCGTGGGTTCATTAACGTTTTCAAACTTTCATTAACGTTTTGGTGCAGACAATAAACCACAACACACATTCAATACAGTGTTTTGGACATTTATTTACGCAATACAATATAAGTATATTTTCCACTAGGAATTGTAGGATTTTAACTGTCTTTCCATTTTTTTACAAGCCGTGAATATGACTTCGTACAAGCAAAGCGCCGTTAGATGTAAATATCAAATCAGTTCTGAGTTTTTTAATCCCTCTTTTTTGGATATTGCATTGGCTCAACAAAGAAACCAAATTCCAAATAAAGTCAGATAGCGTCTTGTGAGGGCCTATGAAGATCCACAGAAATGCATACAATGGTACAACCACATGCAAAAATATCGTCCAAGATGTTTAAATAGAGAAGACATTCAAGGATAAGTTCACTTTCTTGTCTTTGAAAATCTACAATCGTAAAAGCACAATATACTTATATTGTATTGCGTAAATAAATGTCCAAAACACTGTATTGAATGTGTATTGTGGTTTATTGTCTGCACCAAAACGCTAATGAAAGTTCGAAAACGTTAATGAATCCACGAAAACATATTAACGATTGTCAAATTCAATGCTAAATTTCTTAATGAAAGTTCCATCGCACTCTTGAGAGTCCGTTCGCCTTATTGTATGCCTGTTCGCTCTAATGACAATGCTTCTTCGCTGCAATGAATATTCCTTTGCGGTTAATGAACAGCAAAAGGTGTATATTTGTTACTGATCCACTGGCTTAATGTCTTTTATTTCAGCTGTTTATGATTGACTCATCCGCGAACGATGGATATTTCTGTTTGAGCAATGGAAGAAAACTATACGGAAAGCTTTTAATGTTCAAGTTCTACAATGGTCAAAATGATTTGAATCTGAATGCAAGCATCGACATAAAATTATATAAAGGTAAAATCAGTGTGTAGAAGACAATTAGAGGACAATTTAAAGACTACATTTTAAAACGAAGTTACCCTTCTCTATCAAGAAAAACTTGAAAACCAGGAACATTTCCTAATCAACCCATCCATCCACCCATCAAAAGGAAACGAAAGGAAAGTGAAGTGAAAAGAAGAGAAGGAAATGGAGTAAAGTGAAGTGAAGTGAAAAGAAAGTTAGCAGGCCAGGGGAAGAGAAAAGAAAAATATTAATAAGAGAAGAGATAATGGAAGTCGTTCTTTCTACCTAGAGAGAATTTTTCTCCGTTTTTTCTTCTCTTCTCAAGAAACTAAACATGAAGCATGTAATACAAAATATAGTGGTGTGGTCAAGGGCGGATCCAGCCAAAATTTTTTTTGGGGGGGGGAGCTAATTGAGTTTAGGGGGGGGCTAATTGAGTTTCTTCCGTCAACACAACGGAAAACAATATAAAAAAGCATCGTTTTTTTCTGCTGAAGGGGGGCTTCAGCCCCCCTTTTCCCCCCCTGGATCCGCCCTTTGTGGTGTAAGTTGGAAGAAGGCCAAATTGGAAAGTAATATTAACATAATAAATATTGGTATTCTTCAACTATAAACAAGAATCAGAATACCGAGTGCTTTGTTTCGTTGCAGAGAATGTTGTACCATTTCATGATCAATATGGTAAGTTAGTCGGCCATTGAAAGAAAAGTGATTACAGTATCTCAATAGGAAGACCGAGCTTTCCGGAATTTCCGATTGAAATGACACATAACATTTGATTTGAACACGGAATTTCCGGTTTTTGGGGGTTAATGTTAAGCACCATTGGCCTGCCCATATCACACTTTTTTATATATCATATAAACCCTTGAAAGATGTTTTTTTTTTAAATTATGTTGTATAGTATTGAAAAAATATCCGGATTGTGATTATATTCATGGCACCAACTCCACTTTGTTATCATTGCTATGTTCCATAAGCTGAAAAAAATTAATTTCAACCATCCAATTGATGTTCTTAAGGCTGCTTCAGATGGTCTCAACTATACGAAGGAGATTTCCATTCCGGTCTGCCCATCAGCCAAATAGTAAACAAGGACTACTGTTTGGCTCATTGCAGTATACTGTCATTCAAGCGAGCAGTAGTATTGAATCGTGTACATTGCGTGTGTACCAATCGTACAAACTTTGGTAATAACAAAGAATATTATAATTGTTATTCTCCAAAACCGATCGACAATGTGCCAACTGGTTTCCCGTTTGACCGACTTTACCCGGTAACCGCCGCCGCTGTGTGGTTTCCTAAGCAAGTTTATCTGCATAGGGCTTTTACCTTTGGCGTTAGCGATGCTTATAAACATAGAAAATTGACAGTTTTCTATGACCTTGGTGACGGAACTGTTGGGAAGACCTGCACCACCACCACCACTACTACTACTATTCAGCATGGGTTAGTAAAGATTATTCTTTTGTCGTTTGAGAAAATAGACCAGTTGTCAATGTTTGAACTGTGGAATTTGAACTACTGAAGACGACTGAATAAACAAAAATTGGTATCATTAATTTTCCAAATTACTAATGAAATTGCCACCATCATCTACGTGGTTTACAAAAAATATTATCAAATTTACCTACTTAATAATAATTATTAATAAATAAATAAATAATTATAAATAAATAAATAAATAAATAAAGCTTTTATACCTACTTTCAAAAAATAAAGTTGTTGAATTAGACGATCTGAGACCATAGTTAACAACCTCTATTAACTATGATGAGAATAAACGGAAGTTTTTTGCTTTTATATTTTCTTGCTGAAATTACCATTCCATCTCAAAGGTCATGCTTTATATCTGTGAATTTATTATATCATCATCATGCATCATCATCATCATCATCAACACCACCGTCATTATCATCATCACTAAAAATATCATCAACCATTTTACCACCACTGTGTTTATCTTCATCATCATCGGAACATCACTATCACTATCACTATCATCATCATCATCAACAACAACAATGACGACCATCATCACAACCAACTCCTACTACCAACTTCTCCACCGAAATCATCATCATCATCATTACTATTGTCATCACAACCGACAGCACCATCATCATCAACACCACCGTCATTATCATCATCACTAAAAATATCATCAACCATTTTACTACCACCATGAATGTTACGACAATCCTGAACTTTACTTCATAGGCTTACGCCCTGGCTAAACGAGGAAACATGTTTCCAGAACTATGTTTCATTAAATGTTTCCAAAGGTGGCAAAACTGTCAGGAAACATCGGGGAACATGTTTACTCAAAATCGGTTAGGGCATGCGCACCTTCAAGATAGAGCGAGCGTTGCTAAGTAACAAACATTTAGAATGTTGCCTTTCGTGGCTAAACGAGGAAACGTCGGGAAACATTGTTTCCATGTGAAATGTTTCTGACACACGACAGAACATTTTTGCGTCTTGGAAGCAAAATTTGTTGCACACAGCAATGTTTCGCATGTGGCTTAACTGGGAAACATCGGGGAAACATGCGCGCGGTAAACATGTTTCTGGAAACATGTTCCCTCGTTTAGCCAGTGCCTTAGACACGATTTCTTGATTCCAACAGGTACCATTATTTGGGAACCTTTAATGTTTTTTTCAACATATTTGACGAACTTGGGAACATTACCACAACAGGTCAAATTTCTGTAGTTGACCCGCCCACTTCTCATGACACTGTGTGTCCATCCTATGCCGCCCTGAACGACAACGTTTCCTGTCACATGACACTAAGCCGCGGAAGTAATATCTCTGTAACCGTTGACTATGGAGATGGTACCATCGAACAGAACAAACTTCCTGGTAAGGAACATAAAGTTAATAGAATGTTCTGGATTAGTCTAAGACGCTTTCGCGTCTTCAGCTCCGGGTCTCTCGTTACGCCCCTAGTAGGTTTTTCATTTTGAAAATAATAAGGATGATATAGCCCCGTTAGTGCGATAGACTTTCATCTTTGGGGCAACACATGTGAACAGAGGATTCCATCTGTGAGTTAGTCGTAACCTGACTTACATCAGCCCTGAGGTTGTTTCAAAGTATCGATTGAATTAATGTTTGTGTGGTATGGTTTCAGACTCTATCTATTATGAGCTTGGAGAAGATCCAAACGGAGCCACTGAAACTACAGGAGATGGGATAATAGCATTCGTTGGATATCCAGTTAAAGAGAACGGGACGCTCTTTAATATCGAAATGACCTTTGCTAGACTTGGATCGTTTCGTGTGATGGTATACGTAACATTTTAAATAATATCACTATATATGTTTGTTTTTTTCTCCTTCAAATGACTTAGAAGATTTTAACGTACTTTAACACCTCACTAGCAGTTTTAAAAACTTCGTATGGCAAAACGACTTCCGGGTCCTAAACGAAAAGCAGATCTATAAAGATTTTCTTACTTTTTCTTTATGACGAAATTTTATTGAAAGTCATTGAAAACATTCGCTGTAGCTTTTTGGAATTTTCGAATCTTTTTATTTTCAATTTTATTCTTTTAGTTTCCACAATTTTTGTGAACTTATGATATATACCTTATCATTTCAATAAAGCCTTTATTATTGTTATTATTACAATTGAGTTAATTAACTAGAAAATCGCTTAAGGTTGTCTACGATTGTACTTGTCTACGATTACGATCTCTCAAACCTTTGTCTTCTATTTTAGATACTTAGAAAGCCTGCCCTTCAAAGTTCCATAATCGATCAATCGAATCAAGTCCCGAGAAGAACTCGATGTAGTGATGCAGAGATGTTTGATTTGGACAATCAGTCTTGTTGCACATCAGGAATAGGCTGTCAATCATCACAAGTGACGCAGAACTTGACAGGTTACACATATCAGCACATAATCTACGATTACCAGTCGTTCCAATACGTATCAATACCCACATTCAAGTCAATAGACGTAAGTGTAAACGTTATCAAAGGAGATATCATCGTTTTACAGCCTTATGGTTCCTCTGGAGGACAACTGGCGAAGTTGAATAAAAATAGTAGTGCCATAACTGCTCTGACTTTCTCAACTGATAACAACATAGAGGTAGGTAATACCTTCGAGTCCCGCGTTGAACCTGTTGCTACAAGAGACATTTTTGCATTCAGGGCTATTTATTCTTCTGGAATATCTCATGAAATAAAACATTTGTACAATAGAGATAGTAGTTTTTCGATGAACTTCGCTCTCCAGAGCTCTGGCAGGACCTTGACAGTCTTCAGCAAACCTATAATCGTACAAGAAAAATTACACAGCGTAAATATTAGTATTCCCAGACGTGGGCTTGTCAACGGGACCTCTTTGTTCAATATCGAGGCATTTGGCACAGATTTAACAATGACGGTATCTTTTGGTGACGGTTTTACTCAGATGTTTTCAAACGTCCAACCGATCGAGCACCAATACCCAAAGAAGGATGTGTTTAATGTTGATATACAGATCTACAACAAGGTCAGTTGGTACTGGATGCAATGCCAATACGAGACAATAATGCCTGTGATTCTTGACATTCATAGATGTAGGGAAGGTTTTGTCTACCAACCGCTCGTTCCCGTTAAAACAATATTATACGGTGGAGATTTTGCCAATATTTCAACGAAGTTTAGCGACGGAGGTGAAGAGCATTTTGTTTCCAACATATCAATGATAAACTTTCCTGTTGAGAACGAGATTAATCATTCCTTTCCCAATCCTGACGCCTATGATGTGACCGCCTTCGCTATTAATGGGCTAAGCAATACAACAGTAAAGTGCACAATCTATGTGGAGATTCCGATTCAAGGACTGGATATGTCAAATATATCTTCCTCTATCAATGTGGCGCACAACATCAGTTTGCCACTTACTGCTCAAGGAGGTTCAAACTTAACCTACAAGGGGATATTAAACGACAAACCAGCAGAGATCACATGTGTTAATAGCAATTGCAGTCAAGCAGGTGTCTTAATACTTGCAGGAAGTTACCCCACTGGCAAAAATACATTAACAGCCTGTGTTTATAACCATGTTACCTTAGGACTTTGTAGGACAGCTTACTTTACTGCTTACCAAATTGTCAGCGGTACTTTATTGTTGCTCCGACACGCATATTTAGTAGATCAAACTGTAGACGTGTCTGTTGCATTTCAAAATGGTTCTGATGTCTCCTGTTTCTTGGAGCTACAAGGTTATCAAGCGATGCAACAAAAGTGCAAAGCTGGATTCGTTATGACAAAGTCTGTGACATGCGCTACATCGGGGGTTTTCAAAGTTCTCGCTAACTGCAGCAACATGTTCAGCTTTGAGTACCGGGAGTCAAACTTTTCTTGCATATACCCAGTCCGACAAACAGTCCTAACTTCTAATTCGCCCCAGTCAATCCTCACAGGAACTATCAACTTTACTCTCAGTCACATTGCTCCCGTTCCTTCCAGTGCAGCATGTCATGTCGACTTTGGAGACAGTGTTAAGATGGTCTTTGAAGACTGTTTTCTTCCTTTGAATTTCTCGCACAAGTAAGTACTTCTACTTCTACTTTATTTAAACTGATAAACAGGGTTCGTGCTACTCCCTAAACTCCTTGAAAACTCCTTGAGTTTAATTCACGTTTTCAAGGGAACTTGAAAATCTCATGAATTTAATGATGTTAGCGAAACTCGTTGAAAAATCCTTGGATTTTTGCTTTGATCATTACTTGCATGGTTCTGAAATAGATCTAGGCAGAAAGATTGGAAAATCTGAAAGTCGGTATGTGCAACCACCGTGTGAAACCTTCGCATAGTTAGCTGAACATACTCCTTGAAAATTCATTTTTGG